TTGAGAGCTACGAAGAACCTCATGGTTTAGATAGCACCTGTATCAACAGGCCCTCAGAACTAATTGTCGTGGTTTGAGCACAAGAGCAAGGGGGTTTGTCATGACACCGTACTACGTACACTGCCACGCACTGGAACGAAAATTATTTTTATCAATTATCCTACTCAACATTGTCATTTGCAGTAGTGTCATAATCAAATCATGTACTCGAGTAATGTTAATGCAGAGCCCGTTGGCCAATCTATCAATCCAGTCCGCTGCCATTACTCTTGCTCCTTGACACATTCCGCAACAGGGCAGCCAGTTGAGGCAGATATATTCAGCCCTGCTTTATCCGTCATCACTGGAGAAACAGTCACGTCCTTCCTTGAACCAGCCTAACAGCGACGAACCTGAATTTTGAAAAAGAGACCCTGAAGATAGATATTTAGCCTTTCCTGCAACTATTTAACATCCATACGCGCCGCTGCTATTGAGATCAGTCATGACGATACGGAATAGTCTGCTCGGCAGCCCTAAAGTAGACACAGCGAGATGATTGTGACTGTCACCACTATACAAGATATGGTGCTACTCTTTAAGTCGTCAAGTTGCAGTTCGAAATGCTCCCTTCCACCTTCCACGAGTCGCCTCATAAGTAGCTATAGGATCAACTTATTCCTTTTATCCCTATGGCTAGATAAAAAAATTAAGTTGTCTTGTACAAAGTAAAGAAACCCCCCCTCAGAGTCCTCCCAAACCATCGAAAGAATGCAAAGAAATTTATTTCTTTTTCGCTGCCTTATCATCCTCCTGCCCCCGCATGCTCATCTCAATCGCCCTCGCGATCGCAGCATCTTCATCTTCCTCATCTTCCTCCTCTTCCTCTTCCTCTTCTTCATCATCGTCCATGTCAACATCATCATCTTGGGCCTTTGACATAGCCAAGGCTTCTTGAAGCAGTCGCTCCTCTTCAGCGTCTGTGGGATCAGCGGGAACGGCTGTCGTTGACGATGCCGCTGTCGTCGTCACTGTCGTCACCGCTGCTGCTAAACTATCAGTAGTTGCAGTTGCAGCAGCTGTTGATGCTGCTGCTGCTTCTGCTGCTTCCCGCGCTTGAGCCTCTTGCATTGACATCCGAAGGGCCTAGACAAAAAATATTCCATTGAGTACCTCGGACCAATGAATAGCGACATCTATGGATAATACCATGGCAAGTTCCGGGTCAAGACTTGGGTCCACACCAAATTCAAAGTTATTGGATGTGCTTGGACCAGCAGCAGAAGGCGCAGTGCCACCGAGCTCCTCCGGAATACTTGCGCTACGATCACCTGAAAGTATTGGCGATGAGATCAGGGCATCTGAAAGTAGATGTAATCCTGGGTGCACAGTTAGAAGATGCCTACAAAAATCATCATGGATGTACTTTATGAATGGATGTAATCGAGGAGAGAAAGAGATCAGACGAACGAATTATCACTGCTCGTTACATTCTCCACAAACGACTTCAAGACTGTCTTGCCATCCGCATCCGGTTCTTCTATCCCATCTCCGTAGCTTACGATATCAACAGCCACATTATTTTTCTTTAGCTTTTTTGCCAACTTCACCATTGATTGCTCATCCGCGCCGGGACCGTCCAGCGGTGAAGCAACGAATACGATGATGCGCTGACGAAGGTTCTTGTTCTCTCGATGCTTGAGTGCAAGTTGAGCGACGGCAATAGCGGTTGGAATGTCGATAGATCCTCCGATCTTGCCGCCAGCAATATGGACACCTTGAATAATTTGACCAAGATCTTTCGTGTGTGTTACAAGAACTTCCGGACTGTTATCAGCAGAAAAACGAAATCAGTATCGTAACAAATAGTTATCACAAACAGAGCTCACATACCCTTTTCCTGCCATCGTCATTATACCTACGGTATTTTCCGGATTTGAATCAATTTTGGTTTGGAAGACGACGTTAATAGCATCGGATTGCGCCTCGAATCTCGTCGGTTGGTAGTCTCCATTTCGCATGTATTCTGAGTTGTCAACAATCAGCATAGTCGCCTCTAGCGGCATCTTGGGTAAATTTTGTAGAGGTGGAAGGAAGATACAGTTGTGAGAGCAATACTAGCTGAGATGACGCGTCGAACGCGACTTTTTGTTTGGTCGTATTTACACGCACTTATATATTCACCGCCATTCACCGCAACGCAGAGGCAACCGCAACCAGCTTTCACTACCACAGAAGCATCACATCCATCTAACATAAAAAATGCCAAGTATCTCCTCATATGCTCGTTTTTCATTCTAGAAGCTGGTACAACCTTTAGCTGGGACACTCTCCTACTCTCCTACTGAGGTTTCTCAAGCTTCTTAAGCGGAATATCTTTACTAGAGCATCGTGAGGCTCTGTAATTATTATTATAACAATAAATTCTTCCCGTATTTCCAGTTTTCGCACAGCCTTAGCCACACAGGTCTATAAAAGGCAATGCACCTAAGCCTGCCCTCATGTAATCGGATAAGGTAAATTCAATAAAGAATTCGTTCCTCTCGCCCTTCACCATCTCAGTTTACATACTCCGGAGCTCATCAAGGTACTGTCCCCATATCCGCAGCTCGCAGTTTAAAAATGTTGATTATTCCTCTGACAATGCAACTGTTCATCTGCTGCGCATCCGCAATGCTTATAAATACTAAAACGACAGCTCACTTATCGCATCTCAACTTACTTTCACTTTTTTTTAACGAATAATCATCATGGAGGAGGAAGTAGCAGCGCTTGTATGTAGACAGTCGTTCTTTCGAGAGCCCGAGTTGAACTTGGTGGGTTTCTAGGTTATTGATAACGGTTCTGGCATGTGCAAGGCTGGCTGTACGTGTTTTTCCTGATGTCTCATCGTTCAAACTCATCAGGTCATATCTACAGTTGCTGGTATCTACCTTTTGTTGAATTTTAACCTTGAGAGAGGTCACTGACATGTCTACAGGCGACGATGCTCCTCGTGCCGTTTTCCCGTAAGTCACTAGCCCTCTACCCTTCGCCCCAGAAGGATTTAATCATTTCTTATTAGTTCTATTGTTGGTCGCCCCCGTCATCAGGGTGTAATGGTCGGTATGGGTCAGAAGGACTCTTACGTTGGGTAAGACATCCTGGATTGTCTATCAATGAACGACTTTAATCATGACAACAGTGATGAAGCTCAATCGAAGCGTGGTATCCTGGCCTTGAAGTACCCTATCGAACACGGTGTGGTCACTAACTGGGATGACATGGAGAAGATTTGGCATCACACTTTCTACAATGAGCTTCGTGTTGCGCCCGAGGAGCACCCCGTCCTTTTAACAGAGGCCCCTCTGAACCCCAAGGCCAATCGTGAAAAGATGACTCAAATCATGTTTGAGACTTTCAACGCGCCTGCTTTTTACGTTGCCATCCAGGCCGTCCTCTCTTTGTACGCCTCAGGCCGAACAACAGGTATCGTCTTGGATTCCGGAGATGGTGTCACCCACACCGTCCCCATTTACGAAGGTTTCGCCCTTCCCCACGCCATCCTCCGTCTTGATCTTGCTGGTCGTGATTTGACCGAATACCTGATCAAGAACTTGACGGAGCGTGGGTATCCCTTCACCACCTCCGCCGAGCGCGAAATTGTCAGAGACATCAAGGAGAAGCTCTGCTATGTCGCTCTAGACTTTGAGCAGGAACTCCAGACCGCCGCTCAATCTTCTTCTCTTGAGAAGAGTTACGAACTGCCTGATGGACAGGTCATCACTATCAGCAACGAGCGGTATGTTCGCAAGTTCTTTATCACGTGCTTAGTTAGATGACGCCATGGCCGTCAGATTCCGAGCCCCTGAAGCCCTCTTCCAACCCAACATGCTTGGACTGGAAGCCCAAGGTATCCATGAGACCACGTAAGGAAAACGCTTTTTTGAAAGTAAAGAAATGATCATTGAAGGACCTATCCATTATAGCTACAACTCGATCTTCAAGTGTGATCTTGATATTCGTCGTGATCTGTACGGAAACGTTGTTCTCTCAGGAGGAACCACCATGTTCCCTGGTATCTCCGATCGTATGCAGAAGGAACTGACTTCTTTGTCACCGTCAAGCATAAAGGTTCGCTATTTTATCTCATGTTCATATTCATGGACTTGATTCATTTCTTTTCAGGTCAAGATCGTCGCTCCTCCCGAGCGAAAGTACTCTGTGTGGATTGGTGGATCCATTTTGGCTTCTCTTAGCACCTTCCAAAATCTCTGGTGCTCCAAGCAGGAGTATGACGAATCTGGCCCTGGTATCGTTCACCGCAGTAAGCATCTTTTTAAAAATTTCTGATCGGCCTCCGATCCTGACGTTATTACAGAATGCTTCTAGACAAATTTAACGTAAGAATAATTTTCGCGGAAGGGAGGTCTGAAGAGGAAGAGAAAAAATTTTGGATCGTGGAGAGGGAGTGGAGGCGCTTGCTGGGACTGTTCATGTTTCGCGTTTTTACTCCTCTTCTGCTTGTAATAATTGAACACATGTCATGTTGTTTCTTAATCTCATCTGACGATGTTTTCGTGGCTTTTTACTCGATCATTTCCTGACGGCGTTGTTGGGGGTTGGAATCTAGTAGGAGTCTGCGATGGTCCAGAAATCCGCCATTCCGAAGTATGATCCAGCTTTCAGAAGTGCTTTCTGTAATCGAATGTGCAATGTGCATGAATTCCCAACGTGAAAAATATTCGGATTGGAGGAACCTGGCAGAGGCATCAGAGAGTAGGATAATTCTGAATATGTTATTTCGGAATAGATCAAGCAGAAGCTGAGTCAACGCCAGAGCTTAGATCGTCTGCACACCGACATGGGCTAGGATTCGATGCTAGATATACTTGAGCACGACACTGTCAGGGTTAACGTTAAAACTTTAACCTCTCGTCTGAGGGTCAAAACAAACCCTGACAGTTTCGGTCATGAAGCCATAAGTTGCGAAATATTGTTGTGTATAGTAGGAAAAAAATGCGAGATCCGGGAATGCGCTATGACAACAGAGGGATTCGAACCCTCGCCCTTTCGGACCAGATGAACCTGAGTTCCTGATTCTGGCGCCTTAGACCACTCGGCCATATTGCCATATGTTCCTTGTCTCAGAAAGCTTATAACAAAGGAACTACGTGAGAGGAGTGCTTGGAGCATAACAACGGACCATTGTAACAGGGGACAGATTGCGTTCCTTCTTCTTTCTCAACAAAAATCATGACTATCTCAATAGCACCTCCTCAAGCTACCAACAACAGTGATAGCCCTATACCTATAATGGATACCAATTACCATCCTCTCCCAGGACGTCTGGGAAACCTAACAGAAGTCCAGCTACATACCCTAGATACACTCAGGGAGGAGCTGAGAGACGAAGGTCATTTTGTGGGAGAGAGAATGGATGATGCGATGCTTCTGAGGTGAGCCCCCCTACCCTTCATCGCTATTTTTGTTTCTCACTTGTGGTCGCGTGCCTTCTTTGTTCTGCCATTCATTTCCACGGGTCCCTGCCTTGTACGGTCAATATCAAATGTGTCACCGTTTATCCCGACATTCCAAATGGACGTAAAACTCCAGATTCTTACGTGCGCGTAAGTTCGATCTCATCAAGACGAAGGAAATGCTGCTCAGTGCAGAAAAGTGGAGAAAAGATTTCAAGGTTGATGAGATCGTAAGGTTCGTTCATCTATCTTCGCCCTTTCTGTGAGAATCGGGCCATTTTGATGGAAATACAACAGAAACTTTGAGTTCAAGGAGAAAGAAGAAGTCGACAAATATTATCCTCAATATTATCATAAAATGGATAAAGTGCGTCTTATTTATGCCCTCTTGCTCTTTATCTTAGATCTATTTAACCATATCACTCAAATTATTCAGGAAGGCCGTCCGCTCTACATTGAATGTATCGGAAACCTCAACATGAAAGCCCTCAACGCAGCCACTACAACCGAACGTCAACTCCAACGTCTAGTCCTTGAATACGAAAGATCACTCACAGAGCGTCTTCCAGCATGCGCTCTATCCATCGGCCACCCAGTGGAAACTTTTTGTACCATCCTCGACTTGGGAGGCGTCTCCCTCTCTAATTTCTACCGTGTCAAAGACTACGTCTCTGCCGCTGCTTCCATCGGTCAGGACAGATACCCAGAAACGATGGGAAAATTCTATATCATCAATGCTTCATGGGCTTTCTCAGCGATTTGGGCTATTATTAGACCATGGTTAGATGAAGTAACGGCGGCCAAGGTCGAGATTGTGGGAGGGGGGTATAAAGAAGCGTTGTTGAAACAAATTCCGAAGGAGAATTTACCCAAACAGTTTGGTGGAGAGTGTGAATGTATTGGAGGATGTTCGATGAGTGATGCAGGGCCATGGAATATAGAGGGCGGGAAGGAGAAGATTCTGGACTTTTGAAGGCCCGTTTTTTGCGATGTGGATCCTTTTCATTGGACCATGGTTACCTCGAGTGTATATCCCGTCTGTACGGTTTTCTTTTCTCCTCTCTGTCAGTCAACTTGTGTCCCTAAAACTTTCACATGTGTTCAGCTCGGATACCCCGCTTTATCTTGACAATGATTAACAGCCACCCGTACGCTGGTCTTTTCCCGCCTTCCCCTCTCCCCGACATTCAAGGGGGGCTGTATACCCAGGTCATATGTATGGAACCTTGGAATCGTAAGTATATTTCCGCAGTTCTGAAAACAACGTTGAACCAACACAAGTATGCATTCCTGCAGATAAACCCTCTTATTATTTTAATTTCGTCGATGATCAAGTTCATTTCAACCACATCCATATTAGCAAACGGGTCCAACTCGGACATGATTCAAACCTACATTGTCAGCCATCTATCCTGCCTGGTATCTATTACCAGCCCATTATGCATTCCGTCTCTTCGTTCTTCACCACCACCGTCCCATTGCTTTCAAGTTCCTCATGGCGCCCTATATCAAACACTCTGCTCTCAGTATCCATCCTAGCATCTCTCGTCTTTATACCCGCTTCCTCAATATCCACAGCAAAATCCACAAGCTGTCTAAGAGCCTGCTGCACAAAATACCCGCCGGCGTCTTTAAGAAACTCAAAGCTCGCGAATTCTTCGCCCCTATCTCTTCCTACCACGCAGATGATACGGGTCCGGGTCCAGGTCCCGACACGGCTTCCCTCTCTTCCAACCTCGGAGAAGGAGGTGTTTTGGGTACCGGAGCGCCAACACAGCATCGCTTGTATCAGGCATCGTTCAATCATATCAGTGTATGGGCTTATCTGGCTTTAGCATTTGTGATCCTCGCTGCGGTGACTATTTTTTCGTATATGGTCTATTCATGTTACCATACGGCTGGGTTGAGGGCTAGATCGAAGTCCGGAGACGCAGTGGGTGCAGGTGCAGATGGTGGCTGGCAGAGTTTGGAAGACCCCGTTGGAGAGATGGGTGATGGTAGGATGCTGGCTAAGGATCGGGAGGTTGGAGAGAAAGTCGACAACTATCAGGACGCGAATAAGGAAAAAGACATCAATCCTTGGAGTGAGGGAAGAGGATCGGGTTTGAAAGGGTTAGGAATCCACATTCATAGGAGCACAAAATCACAGGTAACGAACGCATTATACCTTTACTATCAACAATTCTGACGTCATAAAATTCCCCTGCCTTTTTCTAGTACGACCTTCCTAACGAGTCACAAGCCTCTAGCCTCTCTGGCAGTCCTCATAGCACCTGCACTGACGGTAGTCTTGGGATGCGCAGCAATCATGAACAAGATCTAGAATCTCCCGAAGGTTCCGATTATCCTTCTATGAGTGCTCAACCACTTGCCCACACCACCGAGAGATCAGCGACCTACCATTTACCTATGCCTCTTCCTTTACCTTTACCCCTGCCACCGCCAGTCACACCTTCTCCCTACCAAGTTAAACACAAGAGGACACGTCTCAGAGCGCTAACGCAGATCCTGTCGCTCAATGCGACGCAGAACCAGAAGAGTCGAGAGACGAATGTCGAACTTCAACCTATGATCGCGACGGAAAATGGAGTTGGTCAATCTAAAGGGTTATCCGAAACGAGTAGAGAAGATGAATCAAGCCCACAAGCTTCTCTATCTCCTCTGAGCTCACTATCCAAATTCTCTCCTGTACAATTTGGTTTCTTCGCGCCTTATCCAAACTGCAATTCAACCTCGACGACGTCTAATTCCAACTCCAACGCCACATCTCATTCTTGGGATAACAATAGTTCGTGTTCGCCTACTACGTTCCCTACCACACCTATCACACCTTCAACACCTATAACTCCAATGACGCCTGTCACACCAATTAAACCTGGACCTTCTACTACGGAATTGCAGTACGATTCCAACAATATTCAGTTTATTGAGACACCTGCTCGTAGCTCCGATGCTAGTAGTCCTGGTGCAAGTCCTCCTGAAATTCAGGGTGCTCTTGCTGCAGTTTCTATAAACTCCCTGACACGGGCGGAGATGTTGTGGAATGATCCTAAGCTTTCGCCTGTGCAAGGTGCTTTTGGTGTTGCTCCCGCTTTGGGTGGAGAGAAGACCAGCTCTACAGAGGTCGCCATTGCGAAGACGATTTCAGTTTGGCAGACTCAGAGTGCCTTTGGTTCTGGTGCCGGGTCCCTTCATATCCCCGCTCCTTCTCTGGCTACTCCGGATCATATCCATCGAGCACAAGTGAACCCACGTCTTGGTTATCTCCGTCGTGGTGTTTCTCTTTCTTCTCCACCCTCTCCTTCGCCCTCTTCCTATTCTTCGCATTCATCTTCCAACTCGGTGTCGTCTTCCCCTTCCATTGCCACTGCTAGATTTATACTCGACAGGGAGGAACTGAAAAGAGACAATTTGAGGAATAGGGATAGCCGGGCTGGTCTTGATAGAGAGAAGGGGAGGGAGAAGGTGGTGAATATGAAGGCTCTATCGCCTATACCGAGGCCTGTATTCTTGCCTCATTTCCAACCTTCCGGGTTCCAGGTTGAGCAATCTTTTTGAGGGGCCCTATTCTATATGGGTGTTGAGGTCTGGGTGTTGTTTATCGCTGCTAGTGGTGTTTGCTTTCTAATCTCGTTTGACATTATACATATATACCCCTGCAATCAATCGTTCTGCTCATGTGCATTATATACCCACCTACAATCTCTATATTACAATTTCAAGTCACCTTTTACTATTTTTTGTATGTAATAACAATTATTACATACCTATACATAAGATCCGGATTACAGGCTTTGCATTCACATGACTGTGCGATCGTCAGGTCGTGATGATCATCAACCCCTGCAAGGATGGGTCAGTGATAAAAGACCGTGTCGTTTAACCATCATCATCATCATCATCGCAAATTGTGAGTGCTGTCCAACCATTGTCAGGCATAGCTTTTGAGCTGAAAAGTTTTATTTTTAATCAGGAGTCATACACCACTCACTGCCACCGCTATCACTAACATCGATCATCCGACCTTGGGCCCCATCTTCCATTTCCATTTTCTATTTTCCATTCTTACACAACCCTCTCAATCTTCCCTCTCAACGAACGATAAACGCTCTTGATTCAGAAAAAAAGCCGATATCCCCCACCTTTACAGAAAACCCATCATCATGTCTGGATTACCCCTACCCCAAGCAGCCAGCGCCAGCCCTATGCCTGATAGTGTTACAAATCCCAACTACCGCCCCCTCCCTGGCCGTCTGGGAAATCTTACGATGATCCAGTTACATACCCTTGAGAAGTTCAAGAAGGAATTGAAGGAGGAAGGTCATTTCGTAGAAGAGAGAATGGATGATGCGATGCTTTTGAGGTGCGGCCCCTTTTTCTCTCTGTGTTTTCTGGTTTTGGAGTGATATTGACTGTGTTATGTTTCATATTGGCTCTTCCAATTTTTGTTTCTTTTTGGATCGGGTATTCCTGGTCGCCTTCATCTAATCATGATGCTACTCTATCAAATCTGGCCCCATCTCGACTGCGGCCATTCCGTTTTTTGGTCAAATCTTCAAACAGATTCTTGCGCGCTCGCGGGTTTGATCTCGTCAAAGCCAAAGAAATGTTGCTTGACTGCGAAAAATGGAGAAAAGAATTCGGCGTAGACGA